GCCTGCCATAGATGTGGCAGAAACATCAGTAGAGAATGCTTCTGGAACATGGCCATACAGACCAGAAAACGAACAGCAACCCAGAGATTCCGGCCACGAAAGCCTTTGACAACATATATCAAGATTGAAAAATTTCCAAGCAGTCTATAGTGAGAAATTTTAAAGTACCATTACACAGGAGATCATGAGAAACTGATTTCAAATAAGGGTTTCCAATATGTGAGAACTACATACCTGAAAGATACTGAAAGAGTTCTACTGATAAAAATATTTTCATCACTCCACAACTATTAGCATTTCCGCACATAATACAGGCATGTTTAGCAAAGACACTTGGGAGATCCTCCTCATGGCTTAATGTGAAAGATGATTAAAATGTTACCCTTTACCTGAAACAGGAAAGGAATAAGCAATCCGTGTCCACCCTAAATGACATTTACTCTGATTTTTTCAGTGTTGCTGACTTCTATGTAAGTCAGCAACACCGAAGTACTCTACATGAAAAACACCAATTTACAGGTTGAGAATCCATTATCTGGAATTCTGAAAATACAAAATACTAAAAAAAACTGTCCACATGGATGACTAAGATAGTTACACCTTTCCTTTTTGTTAGTTTGATATACACAAGCTTTGTTATAAGCACCAAACTGTTACAAACATTGTGTATCCAAATGTCTACAAGTTATACTGTATGTATAAGGTGTATATGAAATATAAACATATTTCATGATTAGACTTGGGTCTCATCTCCAAGACATCTCATTATGTGTTGTTGTTGTTCATTCGTTCAGTTGCTTCTGACTCTTCGTGACCTCATGGACTATCCCATGCCAGAGCTCCCAGTCGGCCATCACCTCCCCCAGCTCCTTCAGAGTCAAGCTAGTCACTTCACCATCCATCTTGCCCTTGGTCGGCCCCTCTTCCTTTTTCCATCCATTTTCCCCAGCATCATTGTCTTCTCTAAGCTTTCCTTTGTTCTCATGATGTGGCTAAAGTACTTCCTCTTTGCCTCTACTATCTTTCCCTCCAATGAGCAGCCGGGCTTTATTTCCTGAAGTATGGGCTGGTTTTATCTTCTCGGGGTCCAAGGCACTCTCAGAACTTTCATCCAACACCACAGTTCAAAAGTATATCTCTTCCTTTGCTCAGCCTTCCCTAAGGTCCAGCTCTCACATCCATAGGTAACTACGGGGAATACCATTGCTTTGACTACGTGGATCGTTGTTGCCAGTGTGATGTCTCTACTCTTCACTATTTTATCGAGATTGGATATTGCTCTCCTCCCAAGAAGTAAGCATCTTCTGATTTCCTGGCTGCAGTCTGCATCTGCAGTAATCTTTGCACCTAGAAATACAAAGTCTGTCACGGCCTCCACGTTTTCTCCCTCTATTTGCCATCTCATTATGTACATATATGTACTTATATGAAAATACAGATATTCCAAATATGTGTGTGTGTGTGTGTGGTGGGGGGACGGGGGGACTCTGTAATCCCAAACACTTCTGGTCCCAAGTGTTTTGGATAAGGGGTTAAGTCAGGCATAGACAAACGTCAGCGCTCTAGGTGTTTTGGACTTCAACTTCCACAATTCTGTGGGAGTCTAAGTCCAAAACACCTGGAGGATTGAAGTTTGCCCATGCCTGGATTAGGATGTTGTTTTAAACCATGCTCCATTCTTGAAACAAGTGAAGCTGAAAATTGCTCATGAAGTAATTACTGCCCTCAACACAAAGTAAGTACTAAAATCAGCTTGCTTCTACAGCTGGATGACCTTGGCTACAGCGGTTGTCCCATTTGTCATGAGCACAGTCTGCCAATAAATAATAATCCGTTTCATTTATATCCCAACCCCTCTCTCAGAAGGGACTCAGGGCAGCTTACAGCAAGTTAACTGTTAAAACGATACAAAAAAGTACATAGGTCAAATTAACATAACTTAAAATAGAACCATTGCAATTACTGAAAACATATAAGAACATAACATCAGCATAAAAAATAGCTGCTCTTATCGAAATAAAAGCATTAAAAATGATAAAACCATCGATCTTACTAAAATACTTCAATTTAAGATGAATTGTCTCCAAAAGCTAATAGAGCTGAGTTTTAAGTTGCTCTCTAAAAATCAGCAAGACAGGAGTCAATCTAATTTGCTTGGGAAGGGCATTCCAGAGCCAGGGAGCCACCACTGAGAAGGACCCCTCTCTTGTTTCTTCCAACCATGCTTGTGATGGGGTGGGACTGAGAGGAGGACCTCCCCTGCGGACCTCAGGGCTTGAACTGGTTCATAAGCGGAAACCTCATCTTGGAATCGTATTGGTGGAAGGGAGACCCCCAAGGTCCACCCAGTACTTTCTTTCATGTGGGAAGATATGTACAAACAGAACCAAAGTGTTGAAAGAGACCAGAAGGGATTCATCCCATCTCTGCTTAGAAAAGCAATCTAAGGGCCCTTCTACATATCTCCAAGGCATCTCATTATTTATATATTTGGAAATACAGCTTTTCCAAAATCTGGAAAAAAAAATCCTTTAATCCTTGAACTGGAATATATGGCAGCATGGATTCAAGACAACCCAGTTTAAAACAGATATTGTGGGATTTTCTGCCTTGATATTCTGGGTTATATGGCTGTGTGGAAGGGTCCACAGTCTGCCAACTTCAGCTTAGAATTATATCAGTGGGAGGGAGATCCCAAGGGCCATCCAGTAAGATATGTACAATCAGAACCAAAGTGGGTTGCGGTGAGTTTTCCAGTCTGTATGGTCATGTTCCATAAGCATTCTCTCCTGACATTTCACCCACATCTATGGCAGGTATCCTCAGAGGTTGTGAGGTATATTGGAAACTAGACAAGGGAGGTTTATATATCATCCCCGTATGTTTGGCGGGGACGAGAGACAGGGCCTTCTCTGTGGTGGCCCCTCGGCTGTGGAACTCCCTGCCTAGGGATATTAGATCAGCCCCCTCCCTCCTGACCTTTCGAAAGAGTAAAAACTTGGCTCTTTGAGTAAGCATTCGGAACCTCGGGTTAAACAGACAAAACTTGAATCGGAAATTGACCCAGGAACGACCAAGACGATGGAACGGATGAGTATTTGAACGAGAGGACATAGTTTCCAGATTTTTAAATGTATTGTAATGTTTCTTTTTGCTTTATCAATGTATGTATTTTATGGTATCGAATTGTGCCGACTGAGCCGCCTCCGGGCTGATAAGGGTGGGATAGAAATAATGTAAATAAATAAATAAATAAATCTGTGGAAGGTCCAGGGTGGGAGAAAGAACTTGTCTGTTAAAGGCAAGTGTGAATGTTGCAATTAATCACCATGATTAGCACTGAAAATTGTTGGAGGAGACCACAAGACCCCTCCCTGCTTTGCAAATCAGTCTAAGGGCCGGGGGTGGTCCATGACTTGGTCACCTCTAGATTGGATTACTGTAATGCGCTCTACGTGGGGCTGCCCTTGAAAACGGCTCGGAAATTCCAACTGGTTCAACGGGCGGCGGCCAGGATGTTAACTGGCGCTCCTTTCAGAGAGAGGTCAACCCTCCTGTTTAAGGAGCTGCATTGGCTGCCGTTTACCTACCGAGCCCAATTCAAGGTGCAGGTGCTTTACCTACAAAGCCCTAAACGGTTTGGGACCTGCCTACTTGCGTGACCGCATCTCCGTTTATGAACCCATGAGCTCACTTCGTTCATCCGGAGAGGCCCTGCTCGCGATCCCACCTGTGTCGCAGGCGCGTTTGGTGGGAATGAGGGACAGGGCCTTCTCTGTGGTTGCCCCCCGACTTTGGAACACCCTCCCCAAAGACATTAGACTAGCACCCACGTTGGCAGTCTTTAGGAAGAATTTGAAGACCTGGTTATTCCGATGTGCCTTTCCAGAATAGGATAACCTCCAGCACTACGTCCCAGAAGCACTTTATTAGAGTTTAAGACTCTCTGCACATTGCACTTGCCCAGAATTCCAACATACCACCTCACACACCCAGCACTTTTAACCTGTACCCATCATTGGCCCGGCCCTGGTTTTATTGCGTAATAGTGTAATGTTTTGTTGTGTTATTGCTTATGTTTTTAATTTGCTTTGCATCGTATTGTTATTGTCTGTTGTTGTTGTGTTGAGGCCTTGGCCTTGGCCTTTGTAAGCTGCATCGAGTCCTTCGGGAGATGCTAAAGGTAAAGGTAGTCCCCTGACATTAAGTCCAGTCATGTCTGACTCTGGGGTGTGGTGCTCATCTCCATTTCTAAGCCGAAGAGCCAGCGTTGTCCGTAGGCACTCCAAGGTCATGTGGCCGGCATGACTGCATGGAGCGCTGTTACCTTCCCACCGGAGCGGTACCTATTGATCTACTCACATTTGCATGTTTTCGAACTGCTAGGTTGGCAGAAGCTAGGGCTGACAGCGGAAGCTCACGCCGCTCCTCGGAATCGAACCTGCGACCTTTCGATCAACAAGCTCAGCAGCTCAGTGCTTTAACCCACTGCGCCGGGCGATGCTAGCAGGGTACAAATAAAATTTAATAATAATAATAATAAGGGCCCTTCCACACAGCCATATAAGCCTGAATATCAAGGCAGAAAATCCGAAAATATCTGCTTTGAACTGGATTATCTCAGTCCTCACTGCCATATATTACAGTTCAAAGCAGATATTGTGCGATTTTTTTTTCAGCTGTGTGGAAGAGGTCTAACTCTCACGAAAGGAGAAGACGGGATGTTTTGTAGGCGCAAAGTTCAAGCAAAGGGAAGGGGCGATTCCTCCAAGGCCACGTACGTGCCTGGCTGCTGCTTTCCAACCCAGGCTCAAGATCTACTGCTGCTGCTGCTGGGGAGCTTTCCCAAGGCCGTGCCAGGGGCGAGGGGAGGGGCTGAGGATCCCCCCAGAGCGGCGCCTGGGCCTTCTCCATGGGTTGAAAGAGGGCCTGGCGATTCCGGGGCCTGGCGAAGGGAAGGGATCCCCGAACACGCCCCTCACACAGCCTCCCTCACTCACCGATGAGGCGGCGCACCTCCTCCTGGCTCATGTAGACGCTGAGGCCCGGCCCAATGGCGGAGGCGGTGGCGGCGAGGGTCGCCTCGAGGGGCTCCCTCAGAGTCTCGGCGCCCGCGGGGGGCCACGGAGGCAAGAGGACGGCGAGCAGCACGAAGGGGCGGAGGAAGCTGCCATGGCCCTGGCCGCCCCGCACCATCGCCCCCTTCGCTCCCGCCCGAGCGCCCCCCCCCCCTCTCACGCTCCTGGGCAGGCCCTCGTGCTCCCGCCGCGCGACGCCCCTGCGCCCAGGCCCGCCGGCCTCCTCGGCGCCATTCTCCCTCGGCAACAACACGAGGACGCGCCCCGGACGCACGCGAGCGAGCGAGCGCGCGCCCTCTCTATTTATCTGGTGTTGTTTTTTTTTTTTAACCGCCGCCGAGGCGCGAGCCAAGACCCGTCGCGCGCCGATAGGGAGGAGGGAGGGTGGGAGGGAAGGGGGAAGGACGACAGGCGAGCACTGCGCCGGAACGCCAATGCGCATGCGTCACTCGCCGCTACCTCCGAGCTTGCGCAGAAGAGCTACTTCCCGTCCAAACGTCGTGACGTCATATTTCTTCTCAATTTTTCTGCAGCTGGGATGATGGAGGGTTAAATTGATGCTATTTCGCAGATTTTGTTGGACTAGAGCTCCCATCAATCCTAGCCAGCACAATTAGGAATGAGGGTCGTGGTGCTAAATCAGGCATGGGCAAACTTGGGCCTTCCTCCAGGTGTTTTGGACTTCAACTGCCACCATTGCTAACAGCCTCAGGCCTTTTGGACTTCAACTCCCACCATTCCTAACAGCCTCAGGCCCCTTCCTTTTCCCCCTCAGCCGCTTAATGGTGGGAGTTGAAGTCCAAAACACCTGGAGGGCCCAAGCTTGCCCATGCCTGTGCTAAATGCTCTTAAGGGCACTATATCTCCCTCTTTCTCTAGGTGCTTCTGTAATGAATGAAGTTTGGCATCACTTTAAATGCCAAGTCTCAGTTCTGTGGAATCCTGTGAGGTGTAGTTTAAGAACGGAAAACGGAATGTTGGTGGACAGGAAAAGAGATTTAAAGATGGCCTTAAAGCCAACCTTAAAAACTCTCATAGACACTTGAGAACTGGGAACCCTTGACTGCTCCAGCTGGAGGTCAGCTGTGACCAGCAGTGCTGCAGAATTCAAGGGGGCATGAGTGGAGGGTGAAATAGAGAAACGTGCCAGGAGGAAGGCACGTAAAGCCAACCCCGACCGGGACCACCTTCCACCTGGAAACCAATGCCTTCACTGTGGGAGAAGATGCGGGTCAAGAATAGGGTTCTACAGCCACCTACAAACCCACAAAAATAGTCATCAAGGAAGACCATCTTACTCGTCCAATGAGGGATCGCCTAAAAGTTTGGTGCACTCTTTGGCATGCATTTATTTATCATGTCAGCAGCAACCAAACATTTGTATTACATTTTTAACAAAACAAACAAACAGACAGACAAAACACAAAGTTTGCAAGCTTGGTAGTTGATTAAATGTCCCTTGACCAGTAGCTGGCCACTTGGAGTGCTTCTGGTGTTGCTGCAAGAAGGTCCTCTATTGAGCATGCTCAGGTTGCATTGCAGCAGGTGGTCTGTGGTTTGCTCTTCTCCACACTTGCATGTCGAGGATTCCACTTTGTAGCCCCATTTCTTAAGGTTGGCGCTGCATCTCGTAGTGCCAGAGCGCAGACTGTTCAGCGCCTTCCAAGTCGCCTTCCAAACAGAGGGCTGGAGATGTCATTGCCTTGGTCCTTTAACTATTGGCTGCTACTTCCCGGCGGATGTCAGGTGGTCCAATACCGGCTAGACAGTGTAATTTCTCTAGTGGTGTAGGGGTGATAATGCGGCATGTCTCATTAAGAGCCACATCCACTGTTTTAGCGTGGTGAGATGTGTTCCACACCTGGCATGCATACTCAGCAGCAGAGTAGCATAGCGCAAGGGTAGCAAGTCTTCACTGTGTCTGGTTGTGATCCCCAGGTTGAGCCAGTCAGCTTTCGTATGATATTGTTTCTAGCACCCACTTTTTGCTTGATATTCAGGCAGTATTTCTTGTAGGTAAGAGAACGGTCCAGAGTGACTCCCAGGTATTTGGGTGTGCTGCAATGCTCCAGTGGGATTCTTTCCCAGGTACTCCTCAGAGCTCGGGATGCTTGTCTGTTCTTAAGGTGAAAGGCACCTGTCTGTGCTTTAGATAGATTAGGGATCAGCTGGTTTTCCCTGTAATAGACAGTAAGTGCACCTAGAGCTTCAGAAAGCTTCTGTTCAACCATCTCAAAGCTCCTTGCTTGAGCAGTAATGGCACGATCATCGGCATAGATGAAACTCTCCCTTCGGGCAGTGGCTGGTCATTTGTGTAAATGTTGAACATGGATGGAGCAAGCATGCTCCCCTGAGGCAGGCCGTTCTTCTGTTTCCACCATCTGCTTCTCTGGCCCTGGCACTCAACAAAGAAGCTCCTGTTTTGTAGCAGGTTTCCTATGAGGCGGGTGAGATGGTAGTCCTTTGTGATATTATACATTTTTATACTATACATTACTCTTTGGCAGAGATGACTAAAGGCCATATAAAACTACAAGTCCCCACGATTTTATAGCATTGAGCCATTGCAGTGAAAGTGGTGTCAATTCTACACTATAGAGCTGACACGGGCAAACTTCGACCCTCCATGGGTGTTGGACTTCCAACGCCCACAGTTCCTAACAGCCTGTTGTAGATGCACCTGGAGCTTGTACTTGTTGTGGGTCAGCATGGTAGAGGTTTGTATGAAAATACTGACTTTTCACCACCTGAGGGAAAACTGTATGGGAAAGGTTGTTCAACTATTGAATTAAAATCAAGTCCCTGTATTTATTACTGCACTATTCAAGCTATAACAACCCCGTTTTAACTGCTCTAACCCTACGCTGCTATACAATCTATGCACTTTATTGACCAGCCTATTTTCTAACTTATTTGCACACTAGCTCCCCCCTCCCAAAATGAGACTTGAAGTATGTTTCTGGTTGTTGCTTATGATGCTCATCTTACTATTGTTATAATGTTGTTTTTATGCTTTCACTAGCTGTCCCTGCCACGCGTTGCTGTGGCCCAGTCTGGTGATGAGATAATTGTTATATTGTATTACATTATAAATATTATGTGTACATACAAAATATTATATTATGATTTTGTCATTTGGGAGTTGTAGTTGCTGAGATTTATAGTTCCTCTACAATCAAAGAGAATTCTGAGAGATTTATAGTTCACCTACAATGAAAGAGAAATTTGTAAGTGACCCCAGGTATATTGAAATATAAGTATAAAAGTCAAACATTTACTGATAACAGACTTGCTAACAGACTGATTTTCTCTTTTGTAGAGTACAACTGAAGCATATTCTGCAGAGTCCATTGTAAACATTGCACTAACAGAATTGTATAAATGGATTCAGAAACATTTTACTATTGCCAATTTTTGGGACCACAACATTGGGGTTAGGACCCACAGTTTCAGAAGCAGTGCTTAGAGCAGCTTAGATCACGAGTATGAAACTCATTTACGTCAAGGGCTACATCAGCCTTACGGTTAAGTCCATGGGCACAGAATCCATGGATACCAAAGGCCAGCTATAATTTTTTACACAGTGGCTGGTGCTCCTTAGTTTTTACCCAGTTTAGGTCCCTAAATGTTATAGAACAACAATTCCCATCACTTTTGATGATCTGCCATGAAGACTTAGGATAATGGAAACTGCAGTCCAACAGCCCTTGTGGCTCTGAGGTTGGGGAAATGTTAAAGGGCTTGTTAAAGTCCACAAGCCTTGTATCCACAAGCCTTGTATCTGAATTCAACTCCCAATAGCTTGACTAAACAGAGTAAACTGCAGTCTTCCAGATGTTACAGTATCAGAAGTCTCGTCAGTTCTAATCATAAGGTCTAATGATGAGGAATGTAGGAGTTGTAGTCCAGCTTCTGGAGGACACCATAAAATGACATGGTGGGCTGAATTTGGCCAGTGAGCCTTGACACATGCAAGCTATGGAAAGATATAGTTAGTGATATGGGGATCTGGGTTTGTGGATTATTGGAGCAGGAGAACATACAGTATATTCTGGCGTATAAGACTACTTTTTAACCCTAGAAAATCTTCTCAAAAGTCAGGGGTCATCTTATATGCGGGTGTAGTCTTATGCATGGGAGTTGTCTTAACTCTATATTTTAACTGGAAAGGTTGGGGGTCGTCTTATACGCCCAGTCGTCTTATATGCCGGGATATATGGTAGGTGTGGTTACTTTACATATTCTGCTAAAATCTGTAAAAATGCACACGAAACATCCCCACATAGAGATGTCTTTACATTAGCAGGATAAACAGACAAAAGGTCATATAATTCCTTAACTGGTAATTCTCTGGGGAATGAGTATTGTCTCATGAATTATTACAAGCCAGAGAATGTTTACATTGGCGGAAGTTTTAATATAATGTCTTTAGAAGGTTACAAATCATTATTTATTTATTTATTTATTTATTGCATTTGTTGACCGCCGTTCTCAGCCCCTTCAGGCGACTCACGGCGGTGTACAACATATAAAAAACAGATTACAAAACCCTCATACAACACAGTATACACGTAGCATTAATAATACAACAATAATTACTCTAAATCATCCGCGTCGTCTCGTCATAGAATCGCAAAGCCAATCTCGTATTCCATAATTCCGTTCCATTCATCATCGTCAGTTATTATTACAGCACTTGGTTGAACGCCTTCTCGAATAGCCATGTCTTTAAACTCTTGCGAACCAGTTCAGCTTTCAAATACCACATAAGTGACATACTTGGAAAGCTACAAATATTTTACTAAATTAATTGAAACGTCAAGGCAGCTCAACTGGAATTATGTGTAGTAGGTTTTGCTGCTCAGGCTGCACTTGATCTGTGACACGTGGTACAAATAGTTAATGTTATAGAATCGGACAAAAGATCAATCAGTGCTGATACAAAGTACAAGATAGGTTTTAGGGTTTAAGTTGCTTACAGTACCAAAGCAATATTACTAAATATATAGCTATTGCGGCTGCACAAAAAATCTTCTCTGCTTCCTCGTTGTGTGGAGAAGTGACCTCAGGCTTTTAATGGCTGTGCTAGTGGAGCAGAAGGTTTTATCAAACTAATAAGACTTTGAATATGGT